GATTTTCCGACTCCAGCTCCTCTCACATTTCATTGTAATATTTTGCTTATATAATATATATAAATATGTTATATATATATATATTCATAAGCCATTCTGAAATTATCATACTTCATGTTACCCATAATTTGTTATCTATAAAATTGAATGCCTTTGCATTAATAAACCACAAGTTGAAATCTTTTTAGAGTTTCTACTTTCAGGCAGAATCCGTCTGACATAAGCAATGATAACATACCTCGTTCCACAGCCTCTTCTGGGTCTTCAGCAAGATCTTGTGTTTGATAGTAATGATATTGATAATTACTATATTCTATTGATCACCTTTTTGGGGGATGGCTGTCTCTCATTCATTCGGTTAGTTGGTTAGCTCCTCTGTCTTCTAAATTTCTTGCCATCAGTGATTGAGCAAGGCCAGGGCTGCATCTCTTTGTTGAAACATCTCAATTAGTATTCCATCAGTTCTTGGAGCTTTATTTTTTGCCAGTACCTTCACTACAGCAGACACTTAATCATTACAGCTGAGACTGCAACAGTACCATTGAGTCTTAATCATATGCTACAACCTGAAATAGTTGTGTGTCTCATAAATTCTTTTTTGGCACAGTGACTCTATGTCCATTTCCTTTTGATGCTTCCTTTGTCATGCTGTAGACATCCCTTAAAATCCCTTAGTATTGCAAATTGAGGCTTGAACTTTTTTTCCCTGCAGTTCTTCAAATTTGTGAAATACTGAAACCTCCAGGCTTTCCCCCCAGAGTGTGTGTGAGTGTAAACCACCAACCTTTCGATAGTAACGCCTAAGGGTTTTGGCCACCGAGGGACTTATCCCATATACCTATCTTGTTAAGTGCCGTTGAGTTACCTCTGATTAATTTTGAATGCCCTAACAATATTACTAGCTATGCATCTGAAAGTAGACAATAAAGAGAACTTAAGAATTTATGCCTTTGAGTTGTGTCCTAGAGAAGAATATTGAGTATTTCTGCCAAAAGAACAAGCACATTTGTCTTGGAGAAGGTTCAGTCAGAGTGTTTTTAGGGTTAAGGATAGAGAAGCTTCGTCTCAGATACTTTGGGTTGTTGTTGTTAGGTGCCATTACAACAACCCTATCCTCACTTTCTGACACACTAGAGCCCATTGTGGCAGTCACCTTGTTGAGGGTCTTCCAATTCACCTGGTTGAGGGTCTTCCAATCCACTTGGTTGAGGTTCTTCCTCTACCTTCTAAGGGTGTGATGACCTTTCCCAAGGAATAGCCCCTCCTAGCAACATGCTCGAAGTATGTGAGGCAAAGCTTTATCATCCATGTCTCCATGGAGCACTCTGGCTACACTGTCTCCAAGACATATTTGTTTGTTCTTCTGGAAGTTGTTATTGGGCATGTTTTTCCTTGTGGTTATATATGTATTTATATTATACTTATTTATGTTTATATACACACACTTTTTAAAAATTTTATTTTGTGTGTGTGTGCCGTCAAATTGGATTTGACTGGTACAGGAGGAGATTGCCTCTCCTTCTTCCGAGCATCTAGTGGATTTGAACCATGTACCTCTGGGATTGCAGAGCAGCTTCTTACCACTAGGCCACCAGAGCTCCCTTCCCTTGTGGTTTTCTAGTTCCACTTTTTTTGGCATAGTTGGTTTTAATACTTTGTCTTCTGGAGTTGCCTTTTGGACTCTTCTGTTCAGTTCCCTATGTTATTTCTTCCTTCTGCTCTAGCTTCCGTATGTTCAAGAGAACCCAATCTAGTGACTGTCAGATATAGAGCAGCCATAGCTGACAGGCCTGGCACAGCCTGGGAGTCGCCCTGAGCAGAGAGAGGCCACCTTCTTGCTGCTCCTAGTGTGCTGATGGCTCCAGGGAGCCTCGTGCCTGCTTGTCAGTCCAGCCTTTCTGCTCAGCGAGCCAGGGCTGTGGGCAGATGACTTAACCTGGCTGGTGGGGCTGGTGGTCTTCAGCTTCCCCACAAATTCAAAATGCTCATTAAGCAATACTAAGGACAGTTATTATTGGGTGCCATCGAGTTGAATACGACTCATGGTGACCCTGTGAACAACAGACTTACACCCTATTCTATCTTGTGCCATCCTCATCATCTCAGACTTGAAAAACCTATCTCTGTGATATGAGTGTCATGTTAAGGCAGTGACATGATAAGGCAGGTTGAATGTATACTACATACACTTCAAGATAAGCTTTCTCCTTTTTAGTGCCCTATTGTTTGATGCCTCCCCTAACATGCTACTTCCCTATAGCCAGCGTCTTGATTGCCTGTGGTGCCAGGAAAATGCAGGCTATACCAACACCTCACACTTGTTTGAAGTTTAACTAGGACCCCACGTATGAAGTGTTTAACTGTTTTGGGAACATTTGAAAATACATAGATTCATTTGCTCTGGAGTCGCTGTGTGGCCCAAACAGTTAAGCATTTTTAGCTGCTGAGAAGTTGGTGGATGGCATCTGCTCAGAGGCACTTAGAAAGGTGGGCAGTCACCTCAGGAAGTCCATGGCGCTCGAGTTACAACCTGCTTGGTGGCAGCTGCTTTGACTTGCTTTAAATATTTAGTTCTTTTTGGCAAGTGTGAGAGTAGGTGTGATTCCCCTGGCCCCGAGCAAGGTTTCTCTGTCAGAGTAAACGTGGAATCCGTGCGGAGAATCTTCCTTTTCCATGTGAGCCATCTTGCACCTCTTCTGTAGGGTCCACGGAACTCGGTAGTCAATAGTAGCTCATTCCACGTGGCCATCCTCACCTCCTTTCATTTTATGGGATCCGCGAGGCCAGTGTTGCAGGGTCCACATCTGAGCTTGGGCGCCAACGCAACCTGGCTGCTTCCCCGAAGGAGTTGCAGCCTTTTTGACGTTTCATGGCCACTTCGGGCCTTTCCTTCTGTGGCAGTTTTCTCCCACAGTTGCCTGGTGTATCCTTCCATCTTCATGTCTTCTGGCACACTGTTTTTCAGATGAGTTTCCTCTGTTGACCACCAAGCGTGTGTTCTGGAAGGGAGTTCTGGAGGAGCTGCTCTGGTTTATCAAGGTAAGAACTGGCTCCTTCACATCATGTCCTTCCTCGGCCACAAGTGGGCTCATTCATCGGCAGGAGCCGGAGTCCTTAGAGGACCTCAGAGGCTCAGAGCGTGGCTGCTGCTCTCACCGGCTCTGTGTCATGTGGGCCACTTCCACGCGGGGCTCCAGCACGAGCCCTCTCTTCTCCCCAGAACCCTCTCCTGTGTGTGAATGTCTCCATGTATCTGTTTGGAGACCCTTCTCTGATCTTAGCTAAAACTGATTCTGCCCCAACACCCTCTTCCATTTCTTGTAGCCATTATCATTATCTCATGTACAGTGAGAGCTTCAGTAACAAGATGAAGACTTTCAGAAAGTAAATATGTAAAATATGAAAATATGTAAAATATGAAAAAGCCTTGAGTTCTGCACTGATGGGCAGTGGCCACGCCTAAGCCACCACCCGTGTGTGCCCCCGCCCTTCCATCTGTGTCCTGGTGCAGAGCCGAGGGCGGCCAGAGAAGAAGGCCCAAGTGTTACCATGACTCGAGACTTAAATGCCACCATCCTGCCCCTGTCCCTTGCAGGGCTCCACCAATGCTAAGGAGCTGTCTTCCAAAGGCGTAAAGATCTGGGATGCCAATGGATCCCGTGACTTTTTGGACAGCCTGGGATTTTCCACCCGAGATGAAGGAGATCTGGGCCCTGTCTACGGCTTTCAGTGGAGGCATTTTGGAGCAGAATATAAGGATATGAATTCAGGTGAGGAGGGAGGGACACCTCAGGTTCCTCAGTACCCTTCAGAGCGTGAATTTGCTCCCTTGCTTCAAGTCAGTCCAGCCTTGGGGAAAATAAGATGGTCTCTGGAGCTCTGACATGTAAGCACTGTGAACGGCTGTGGAAAAGCCACAGCTAATCTCCATGAGGATCAGGCCACACTTCTGGTGACTAATGTTTGTTGAGCGCCTACTGGGTACATCATACCTTAAAGATCTTACTTCACTAGTGGATAAGGGGAGAAGAAATTTCAAGATTGTCTTTTGACTGCTGTGATCTCCCCTTTCAGATTGATCCACTCAGCCCACTCCAGGTGGCTCTGAGGGGGTGGCACCATGCCTTAGCCACCACCTCTGTGCTCTGCCAGGATATAGGAAGAGTGAAGTATCTCACTCTTGGCATCTTCTTTTCTCTGTCACAAGAGCCCTGCCCTGGTCCTTTCTCCTCTGTTGCAAAAACAAATACCTCCCTCTGTGGATTGGAAGATAAGAAGTAATCGTTTACTGGCAGAGTCTGACTTTCATTGCCATTGAGTTGGACCCAACTCATGGCTGACCCTCCAGTAGGTATTTGGAGACTATAAATCACAAGGGAAGAGATTGCCAATCTTTCTCTCATAAGGTTGTTGGTGGATTCAATTGAGCCACCTGTAGGTTAGCAGCACCAGTCCTTACAGACAATGTCACTGGAGCTTCCCACTGGCCGGTTAGCAACCAGCCAACTGCCACATATGAGCCCAGCTCTGGGGGACAGTCAGCTCAAGCTGGAGCAGAATGGTATTAGAATTCTTTCATAAAAGCCCAGAATTAGCATTTTACATGCAATTACATGGTTTTTGACTATTGGCATTTCTCTAGGAAATTTAAGGATGGTGCAGATCAAGCTATGTCTGCAGGTAAAAGGCATGTTGTTGGTCTGCAGCCTCTGCTCTAAGACAAGCTCCTTAGGGGGTGCGGTCACAGCCGTGGCTCATTGTCGTCCCGAGCTGGTGTCCAAAATGCAGGGCTGCTTAAGGGGCAGTAATAAAACTTTTTGATATTACCTTTTTTAGAACTGTGATCATGAAAGGAGTTCCTTTCAAAAAGTTTAAGAGCTTCTGAACTAACCTGACACCAAGGAGTAGAAGTTTAACCGGAGTTTAACTTCAGAAGTTTAATGCAAAGCTTTACACTCTTCTTGCAGAAGGAAGGCAAATGGGGATCATAAATGGGAAAAAGTGGAGGATGGTGTCATCATTACGGAGGTTTCAAGAGTAGTTAGCTGCAACATTCTAATTTTAGGTCAAAGTACTGCAAGCATAGTCTCTAGGTCACAGGAAGGAACCCATGTTTGTTATCTAGAATTTGGAAAATATTTTAGATCCAACAATTCATGTAGGATAAAGTAGATTGTACCAATGAAGTGTGACAAGAAAATTTAATGAGTTTGGAGGCTGAGCCCTATTGAGGACTCCGAAAGAAAATGTTTTCACTTAGGTCGCAGGTCAGCTATATGAGAAGGGGAAACTTGGAGAAGGGACACTAGCAGACCAGACACTCTATGATAATTGTGTAGACATGCCAGTGGGCTTTGTGGTGGCTCTGGAGGGTGGACTCAATATCCCAGTTTAAGAATCTGAATTTTGTTGTTCATTTTTGTCTTTTTGTAACAGGTCTGTCTGTTGTGGTCCTGAGCAGGGGTAGGTGGGGGTCGTAACCAGGCACCACCTGGTTCTAAGAAATGTGTAGAGTGTGAGATCATTTACGACTCTGACCACAGGGGACCTGAAAGATGACCTCTAAATCCCATCTCACAAGACAACCCCATTAACGTTTGTGTCTATGTTCTCTCATACAATTCTACAGATTATTCAGGTCAAGGAGTAGACCAGCTGCAAAAGGTTATTGACACAATCAAAACCAACCCTGATGACAGAAGAATCATCATGTGTGCTTGGAATCCAAAAGGTGGCAGCAGCCCAGCATCCCCTTTATTACTGACTATGTTGTTGGGCAGGGGGTGGGAGGGTGGAGTGCAGAGGGGCCCAACAGAGGCAGAACTGTCATGCTTTCCCCCCCCCATCAGTGGTGTGACTTTGGGAAAGTCACACGTGGCCCATTATCACCTTCAGGTGGTGGAACTATACCCTGATGATCTTAACCTGGGTATTTGTCCTCTTAAAATAACACATAGTAATTTTTACATTTCACATGGTGGCAAATACTATTGCAGATCCTTGTTATCTCCAAATTATCAGCTTTATAAAAGAATGTGTTGGTGGTAAAGTTTGCACAGCACATTAGTCTCCCATTTGACAGTTTCTGTGTAGACTGACATTAGTTATAGTGAGTGGCATTCTTTGTGATGTGTCTGCACCCCTTTAATTACATTTCGGTTGTCCTAGTATTCTAGTACTCTAGTTTTCTTGTGCTCTCGTCTCATCTTGTAGAGTACTTGGTAACTTTTTATTTCTCAAATAATGGGGGGTTTTAATTATTCTAATTTGTTGTTGTTATGTGCCATTGAGTCGCTAGCAACTCATAGCGACCCTATGTTCTATCCTGTGACAACCTAGCCATCTAAAATGCACTCATTTCCACCACTCCACTCACAGAATCGATCCATCTCATCAAGGGTCTTCCTCTCCTGTGCCATCTTCCACTCTCCCAAACATGATGTCCCTCTCCAAGGACCAGTCCCTCCTTGAAACTTGCACAACGTATGTCAGACGAAGCTTCAGAATCCTTGACTCCAAGGAGCATTCTGGCTTCACCTATTCTAATTTACAAAATTCAAATACATTGTTTTCGAGAACAGATTCTTCCAATTTCCCTCCCCCCTCCCCCCATCAAATTGTACAACCCCATGATTAATCCCCCTCCCACTGCTCGTCCTAATCCCTTTGTTTCCACCCTCCCCCTCTTAGGTCCTTATACTCATTCTACAGTAATGGTTGTATAAAATATTTGTCCTTGTGGGACTGAGTTAATTCACTCACCATGTTTTCCAGTCCCTCCCAAGTTAGGTAGTGATTTACAAAATCATTGCTCATGTGTGCTGTGTAGTAAGATAATGGTTTTTTAATGAGCATTATACTCTTTTCCATGCCAATATGTTACTTTCCTAACAGGGAACCTCAGGATACATGCTAGTTGTGGTTCCAAATTTAAAGTGTATATCTGAGGGCGACTCAAGGATTGCTCTAGTTTCAACTGGTCAACTAAGCCTATTTAAGATTTTAATTTTATAGTGAATTTTCCTCCCCACTTAGTCTGAATCTTTCGCAGCCCTGGCCAGAATTTTTAATGGCATCATCTAGTTTTTAACAGCTGGATTGTGGAATTACATTTCTTCCAGGGTGTAGTAAGTACCACCATGGAGTGTTTGCATCTGTAATAAGTACAGGTGAGTGTCCCTAGGGTGCCACATAAATATATTCTAAGCAGTCTCCTCCTGGTAAGATTTATAGCCTGTGAACCTTGATGGTTGCTCTCAACTGAAATTGACTGGATAGCAATAAGTTGGGTTTTGGCTTATAATTGTAGTTTGGTGTCAAGAAGATAGCACAGGTAATTTCCACTTGGCAGGAAGAGCTAAATGAACAGCAGATCAGAGATGTAAACCCCAGAAGTCTGTTTACATAGACTGGTTCCCATTACATAGACTCGGTTCAAATGGCCTCTGACATGAGAGGAAGGGGTGGCTCTTAACTCATGATCTCCACCCTGAATTGGCTTGTCTCACTTGTTTGATTTTGCCTGTTTGCCTTTTCCTTTGAAAGCCCAGCCTCACCTCATTTTTGTTTCTGCTTGTTCTGCAGACCTTCCTCAGATGGCCCTGCCACCCTGCCATGCCCTTTGCCAGTTCTACGTGGTGAATGGTGAACTCTCCTGTCAGCTGTACCAGAGGTCAGGAGACATGGGCCTGGGGGTGCCTTTCAACATTGCCAGCTACGCCCTGCTCACCTACATGATCGCACACATCACAGGCCTAAAGGTGAGCTGTTTTCGGGGGGAAACGGTTGCAAGTGTGATACACTTAGATTCTTTAATAGGGAAAAACTTAGTTGCCGAGAATTCAGTACCTGAGTATCTCCAAAATTTGATACAGCCAAGTCCTCATTTATTTGCAAATTATTTGCTAAAATTTTTTTCAGTTCTCCTACTATAAACAAGTATGGTTTTGTGTTGGGGTTTTTGGTTTTTTATAGTCTGTTTAGTGTCATGTTTTTTTGCACGTTTGTGTTTTTCATTTATGATTTTGCTTATTTGAATGACCCTCTCGAAGTGCATGGCAGGACAGCACAAACATGAAGAACTGTCCAGGGCTCCCAGTTCAGGAAGGTTGTGATATACTTAATGGGCAAAACATGTGTGAGAGATTTTATTCAGATGATTTGTTACAGTTTTGGGGCTGTGAGTTTACTATTGTCTTTAAACTTAAAACACATAAAATTGGGTTTCGTATTGATCAGTTGATGAAAATGTGTGGCCACAGATTTGTGGCTGACATTGTACTACTTCTAAAAATAAGTGGTTCAATATTTGCTACTTCAGGGTTCTTAAGGGCTTTTTAAAACTTTACACCTCTAAATAACTATTGTGGTATTAGAAAATGAACAAGCTACATTATAACTTGCTGCACAGCATTTATGTCTCTATGTCATTCATAAACAAGCATTGAACTTCACACATAGTAACCTAGAGTTAATGTTTCTCAAAAGCTTCAATGTTTAAATTATTTCTTGACGTCTTGGGATATCTGCATACTTACTATTTATTATCTCACACGCTTCAGGCATGTTGCTAGGACAGGCTATTCATTGAAGAGGGAGAAAGAGGATGACCCTCGACCAGATGGATTAACACAATGACTGCAGAAGTGGGCTCAAGTGTGTCTTAGAGATTGTGAGAATGGGACAGGCTTCAGATCTGTTGTTCATAGGGTCTCTATGAGTCATACTCGACTCGAGAGCACCAAACAACAACTGTTTTTAGATTCTATATTGTGTTTAAGGTGCAAATGGAAGCAAAGTATTCACTGGTCTGCTCTCTCCCCCGTGTTTAGCCAGGTGACTTTATCCATACCTTGGGAGATGCACATATTTACCTGAATCACATTGAGCCCCTAAAAGTCCAGGTAAGAATTACATCTATACAGTTTTGAGTTTGGTACCTTCTCTGGAAGACAGGGGAGCAGAAAATCAAAATGTTTTTTACAAATATGCTGGAATAATGGTTTTTGATTTTACCTTTTTTTATAGCTCCAGCGCGAACCAAGACCTTTCCCCAAGCTCAACATTCTTCGAAAAGTTGAGACAATTGATGATTTCAAGGCTGAAGACTTTCAGATCGAAGGATATAATCCTCATCCAACTATTAAAATGGAGATGGCTGTCTAGAATGCTTTTAAACGAACTGTCTCAAAAATGCTGTCAGCCATTAATGATTGGACTGGATGCCCAGGCAAAAAAGTTTTTTGAACTATACAGGAAAAAAGAACGTGGTCAAACCCTATTAGTTACCTACCAGTTCTGTTTCATTTTAAGCATCTTGCTAGTGACTAATAGGAAAGTGCTGCTGCTTTTAGTAATAAAAAGCCTTGCGCTTAAGTTAGTTCACTTGAGGATATATGGAAACATTGAGATTATGAATAATGTTAGGAGAATAACAGTTCACTTGCTCTTGACACAATGTGTGTATGTATTTCAAATTCAAATCTTCATGAAGGCCAGTGAATGAAGAATTCTTTGAACTCTCCCAAATTTAAGTGTGCAGTCTATGTATGATGAAGTTACATTTATAGTCATTTGTTACATGTTATTCTAATACATTTGTTACATGTTATTCTAATAAAGCGATGTTCAGCATTCATCAGATTTTTTTTTATCCTTTTTTATTTGTTCCGGCCTGAGGGCCGAGAACAGCCTATCTACACACCAGTTCAACAGGATGCATTAACTTTAGTCGGGAAACATTACGACTAAACTTCAGAGACATTGATCCCAACATAAGAAACTACCATCAGCTGATGTGTTTGGAGTCACAGAAGCCATGGAACTTC